GACTTGTGTAGCTATTTACTAGAAATCAGTTTACTATAGTAAAAAAAATAATCTTCAGCAGAAAATGTAATTGTACTGTAATTGTGTCGGACGTCCAATAGAATTTGCAATTCGATATGTCAGAACAGTGTAGTAATAAGTGAAAATTACATTTCAAGGTGGTAATTTACATATTTAAATCTGTCTTAAAAACTCTTAAATTGTGTTATTAGAATTTTAAAAAATTTTGTTCTTTTTCTACAGGATATTAAAGTTGAATGATAAACTTTCTTGGTGTATAGCTGACGGCAAATAAAATAAATTACAAGTGCCCTGAATTTGTTTTTATTTTTCTCGTATTTTTATGAAAGTACCAGAAAATTGGACTTCTACTAACCCCAAAATAAAATACGACTCTATAAAATTTCGGGCTTTTACCAGCATAAATTGGAATATCCCACGATTTACGCGTAATACCTAGGATTTACTGGTTTTTGGGGTTTTACAGTAACTCCTCTCGATATTTTTAACTCACCTGAGTATAATTTCCTTATCCGTTTACATTTATCTCGTGTATTTGATCCATCATTTCGACTTCACCTCAACTTCAATTATTGATGAAACTTAAAGATGATTCAGGGTTTTGCAATCAATTGACTTGCGTAACTTTTAAACTCATTGCAGTCTTCATTTTGGAAATTTTTTAAGGATTTATTGAGTGAGTCAAAAAATTCCGCGAATTCAACCTGGGAATCTCAATGAATTAATTAATAATTATTTTATATAATTGTACTTAGTTCTATTTAGAAACAGTATGTGGTAAAAACATTGCTGACCTGTTAGTTTTTATTTTATAAATATGTGTTGTAACTCAAACTCTGCGAACTCAAGTTGTACTCAAATCGTGGACTAATATCCACGGTATTTTGAAGTTTTAAAACAAATAAACCCTTTTTAAGAAAAAGTTGAAATCAAATTCGTTTATTTAATTCTAGTTTCAACTTGTAGTATTCAACGAGACGTAAAATAGTTTTGCCACTGAAAGCTAAAACGCCTTTGAGAATAGTACGGTTGGAATAGTGCATGGAATTTCAAATTCCCACCTCGGAAATAAGTATTTTTCTCCAAGATCTCACTGTTGGGGTTATAGTTCAAAGGAAGTTTACGATAAAGGGAAGCCGAGAAATCCCTTTAAGTCGGCAGGTAAAGTCAGCAGAAACCGTAGCCACGCAAAAGCCGACGAGCCATTTCCCTACTCTATAGAATGTATAGTTTGATAAAATATATGTTTTATTCATAAATAAAAAAAATTATTGCTAATTTACAACCGTTTTTTTTTGTATAAATATCAAATGGCAAAAGGTAATAAACTGGTCTTTCGGTGAGGATAAAGGTCCAATTCAGTCGATATAAAATTGGAAATTTCCGTAGTAAAGTAAGTTACCGGTATCGTTAGCCGCTCACCTACAGTGGGGTCGTAACATGAAACCATTACGGCCGCGTTAAGGGCTAAATGACTGGCATTTACCGCTATCCAGATGAAATAGGCGATTAAATTAAGTTCGATAGTGCTATTTCCTATGAACTAAATGAGTTAAACTTTTTTCATTTCTTCGTTCGAAGTCTATCGAAATTAAATTATCTACTTTACGACCAAAAGTAATTATCTCTTTTCAAGTAGATTATTCGATTATAAATTTAAATTTGTTGTATACTGGGCGAAAAATAATATTTGATTTAGAGTAAATGTGTATTTACTTAGGTAATATTCTAACCTAATCAAGCTATGTTATTTTTGGATAGAATTTACTTAATTGATATTGGTTTTTGATTGGCATTTTGTAATGAAGATTGATACATTAATGTCAAATTTGAAAAAGCTTGATTAATGGTGACATTATCATTTTGCAATCATTTGCAAATGCTGACAATTTGATGTGTGGTGTAGACGGAACATTTAATGATTTCCAAACGGCTATATAACGATTATTGATAATAAATCATTTATGCTCTCCTTCTCAAAATCTATTAGAGCGACTAAAACAGTGTGTCCTCCACAATTTAATCAATAAATTCTGATTATATGTATAACTCAAATAAGCAATTCGCTCCCTGTGGTTAGTATACCTACCACGATAAATCTGTTTGATCACCAATGGAACAATATCGTAATTATCGAAATGGTTGGATGAACTTGTATATCTATTTACAAAGTTATGGCAGAAAATATATTCAGTGTTAATAAAATATATTCTGTTTCCACGTTTCCAATTTTTCATTGTCGAAATTCCTTCTTAAGAGATATAGGAGTGAATGCAGAAAATGTATTTTAAGGCCATGTTACATCCCAGTACTTTATAAGTTTGAAGTAGTTCTGAACATAGTTCTTAGTCTTTCCGTTATCAAGAAATTCAATTACAACTTTTTTGAAAGTCTCTTTTTAAAGTTTTTAAAATTATTTATTGTTTATGAGGAATGCTGTTAATATTAATATTGTATCTACGATAGCAAAATTATGTTGTTGTAGGTGTGAGCTACATAAACAAGAGGAATTTAATCTTATTTCTAATATGATGAAGTACTAATAGTACTAGTTTTAACTACTTTTACAATTTTAATATAATTCGTGTATAAAGAAACGTCATCAAATAATAATGCTCTTTTTGTAAGATAGATAATTTTTCCAAATTTTCAAAGAAGCGAACATTTTCTGTGCAAATGTCTATTTTCAACATTTTACCCAAAGATTCTATTTTGTGGTGTAAAGATTAATTACCTATCAATTAAAAACCAGTATTTACAAATGCTTGTTATTTCCATCACTAGCTGTATTAGCAATAATATTAGAAATAGGTATTTTATTTTTATCAAAATCTTTTATAAGAATTCTTCAGCTGTTGTTTTTTCTTTTTTTGAACTGGTTGTGGATTTTTTTACCCCTTTTTATTACATCCTTTACTGCAGGTAGTATTAACTTTTTGAGACGGTGTAACGGTTTGTTGGGGGGTGGGGTTATCCACTTTTGAGTCGTCTTCACGCTTGCACTACCTCTTTTGTAATTAAGTCGTAGTGTTGTAGTCATGTGTTTAAATTGATTTTTCAAGTTCGTACGCACCCGTGTAGGTTGGGATTGTATAAAGAAGTTTCATTTTGGTTTTTGGAAAGAAATCTTTTTCGCGGCTCAACGAGATCTGCATCTCTTGCCCTACTTTTTGGAGGAACTTTATTGAAAGGGTTTTTTTGGATCGAACTTTTGTAAGATTTTTATTATTTTTTATATAAATCGGTTACTCCATTTTTTTTAATTGTTTTGCACTTTATTATTATTTCATTTTGCTCCATCCTACGTTGAACCAGCTGTTTTTGTGTTTTTTTGGATATTATTATTATTTTTTCATTTCAATATATTGTTTCGTATTGGATTTCTTTTCTTTTTCTTGCGTGGTTTCAGACTTAGTTTCGAGAGGAAAAATTAAGTTCGTGGCGCCCTTTTTATTAAGATTGTCTCCATTGTGTGACACGGGACCCAAATTCTATCAAAAAGTGTTATCCCTTGTGTTTTCCTGTTTTTATTTCTTCTTTTCATGATCTTTTTCATAATCTTTTCAAATCTTTGTCTTTCGACAAATGTGTTCTGTCGAAAAGAACATTTTGAAAGAATGCATCGTTTCTTTCAAAATGTTCTTTTCGTTTTCTATGTTTGATAGGAAGACTTAGAAAGGGTGCCCAAACAAGTAGTGAATGTAAAATTAAGAATTGGTACTGCATGGAAAATCAACCTGAAGTAATAATTACAAGTTAGAAAAATCCGAGAAATATTTCTATGCTTTCCACGAAACACAGAAGTGAAATGTTGGAGGTAGCTTGGAATCATCATACAAAAGACCAACCCCTAGTTGTGTTAGATAGTTTATTCAAATTCTCTTGGAAAAAGCACAAAATGGTATCGAAATGTGGTTTTGAGTTTGTTTTTGATAATTTGTATTTAAATAACCTCTAGAATAATTGAGATATTTTTAAGAAATTTACTGTAGGTGCAGCATACATCTTACATTTATGGAGATGGATAGGAATTCGATGTCGTTCACATGATTACCGCAAGCAAGGCTGCAGAAAACAGCTTTTTAGATACAATTTTACATCCTTGTTTCATACATATCGACTGGAATGTTGTGGCATATAGCACCAACTTGTTGGAACCACATGTCACTGATGTTAAGTACATCCCATTCTGACCAAAAATTGTCTTCCATTATGGCACGTAACATTGTGATCATTTTCATTTTCACGTTAAAAAAACATGGTATAATAACACCTCTGGTATGATATCCATCACTGCAGTTTTGATAGAGTTTTTTGAAGTAGGTACGTCTTTAGCAGAGCCCAATCTGAGAAGTTACAAAGCTTCAAGTCATCACGAGGCTTCAGTTCTTGATGAAAATGTGAGCTTTCAGTAACGTTTTGACGTTTACAAATCCTGAAAAACATGGAAGGGTTTGTTAAGGTTGCAAGACCACTTCTATAGTTTATAGCTTCTGTATCATGATAACTCTTTTCCATATATATTTTTAAATTTACACCCTAGTACTTTTTATGTTTACGCTAAATTTTAAAGTTTAGATTGCTTTTCCTTGTTAATAGACAGTCCATACCACTAAAGCAAATTTCTTACCATAAACATGAGGTCTAAACTATTTACCACCATTAACTCTAGCGATATGTTCTTATTTACAGACCGTATACTATTCATTTTAAATTATCGATGTCTCACGATCTATAAGTTTATTATTTAGTAACTAAAAAAAAAATAAATAAGAATAGTTAACTCATTTAAAAACTACCGCCATCTAATCACGTTCCACATAAACTAAAAACTTTAAACGTCTTTTTCAGACTTAGTTTCAAATTAACACCCAGTACAATATATTCCTCACACCACATCCCTCGACGAATAATTTAAAAGTTTCCATCCGGCGTGGAATGCAAATCCAATTATCCGCTTTTCTTCTTTTAAATTGCAGACATCCTGAACTCGCTGTGCCAAAATTTCGTCTCGTACAACGTGTCCGCGATTCTTTACTTAATGAACTACGAACAATACGGTAGAAGCACAGCTTCGGCACAGTACTTCCTTCAGCTGGCTGGTTATCTCGGAATACCCGTCATAGCGTGGAACGCCGATAACTCCGGGTTGGAAAGACGAGCATCGCAAACGTCGGTTCAACTTCAGCTAGCTCCCTCATTAGAACACCAAACGGCGGCAATGCTCAGCATCCTTGAAAGATACAAGTGGCATCAGTTCTCCGTTGTAACCAGTTTGATTGCGGGACATGATGATTTTATCCAGGCCGTTAGAGAGCGAGTTTCTGCAATGCAGGTAAGTGCTTTTCAGTATGTTCGTTTAAGATTTTTGATAACGTTAATGGACCCAATATATTTGCACTGTGTGGAAAATAACTTGAACGTATGTGCATTACAAATATTCCACTCGCTCGGACGTAAAGTTCAATACGAGTCTGTAAACTACCATTCTTGTTCTTAAAGGATCGTATCAATCTCCGCGATTTACTGCTTCAGTTAGTTTCGCGCTAGTAGTCGTTGAATTAGTAACGCACCCTTACACTTTGCGGTCGAACAAGTGCTTAAAGCGAAACTTTTGTGTACCTTAGTTCTCTCGCTTGTAATGTATAAACACAAAAAGCTCTGTAGTTATTGAGTGTTGAAAGTCCTCTTAGGAAAACCTTTTCAAAGCGGTGAACCATGAAATCCTTTTAGTACTGAAAACAAATATAATAGATTTTGTACAAATTTAAATACATTAAAGTAAATTGTCAAGAACACTCAGCCTTGTTCATCAATCTTATCACTTTAGAGTAAAACCCTTCTAAATTTGTTGTGTCCTTGGTGGCAGAGTTAATTACGTTAGTATGCGTCGATTACTCTTCTAAGAACCTCAAGTCTTCCCTCCTCAAGGAATCAGTAATCGAATAAGCCAAGCAAGGACAGACATCGCTTAATAATATTAGGCAAGTTAACGACGAAATTTACTTGTCTACTTTGACTAACGAATCTTTCAATCACCGATTATAATGGAATTGAACTCTGGAAGGTTCTCCCCAGGGAACAACTCTTGGTGTGTTCGAGCGACAAACAACCACTTCCACGAGTTATACTGCAGTTAAAGTTCCTTATCAGAATGATTGGATTCACTATTTCAATGTAATCTCTACAACGTTTAAACAATTTATTTGCATTTTCGTGATCGCAAATGGTTGCTTTCTGAGCTTCCCGTAAAAGTATTCGTATCACGCTTGACCTGCAATTAACCTCGAGCTGGAAAGCTCAGGTAATGTGCCCTAAAGATCTCTCTACAACCTTCGAGATTCCGGTTAGACGTTCCCGCGAGATACAAAATAGTGTGTCGTAAGTCGTTATTGCATTACCCATTAGCTTCTTTTTCCAAATTAAAATAGTAATGTGTATAAAGATAAACCAGCTTTGATAAAAACTTCTTTTCTTTTTGTTGAAAAAAATCGGTGTCGATTAAAGTAAGACTTTTAATTGACTCAATTTAGATAAGAACAAGGATAAAAGGGGTCAGCTTTAACGTAAACATTTCGAATCCGTTCATGCGAATGGTTAACAAACAAAGAACAGGACGGGATTTTCGTCGACCGGAAGGACTTATAGAGTTAATCCATAAGTAGGAAGATTTCGTTACACGACCACTTTAAACAATAGAATTAATCGTTTGGTAAACTAACCCGACCCGTGAAGGTCACAAACAATCCAAAACCATATTGATCTTTATTTATTTTAAACCAAAATCGAGCCCTAATTCCTATTAAAAAACCGGTGGAGATTTCTTTTTATTATAATTGCTACTAACAAACTTTGTTTCCGCGAAATAGCCTCAGTTTCACAACGTGCACAACATTAACTATTAGAGAAGTTCAGAAAATCACTTTACGAGAAGATTGTGAGGCGACTCGACGACAAAGCCGTGAGAATGCGAAGGTTTTCCTAGGAAGAACGTAATCGGGATGAAAGTCAAAACTTTCAACTTGGTCGAGATGCAATTAGAAAACGTATTACAACGGGATACCTTAACACGGCCGTGAACTTTTCAAATATAACCTTTAACGAAACGTTATTACATTAGTTTAATTGTAACACAAGTTAAGTAGCCATCGTAATTGAAAATGACATGTAATTATGATATTGATGATATGAATAATGACATTAATCTAATTTTGATAACAAACTAACATGTTTTTGAATCCATAACGATGCCTTCATACCATAATATTATCATTCACCATCTATCGCAAATATAATCCGCAAAAATCGTTTTATCCACATTATAAATGAGCTTGAATCCGCAAACGGACATGAAAGCTTTACTTTCTTAACGTTGCTGGTGAATCCTGGAGTAACGTTGAATTTATTCATCGCCGCGATTTTCGTCTTAAGACTCATCTCAAATTGACGAATCGATCGTATGTCGGATTTAAAAATTTTCGATTTTAAACTCGTTCCTCGTTCGGCAATTTGTCCGGTAAACGGCAATATTGGTTTTCAATATATCTTATCCTTAAACTTATCTTTTTGCTTCTCTCCCAGATACCGAAGTATTCCCATGGTTTATTGTTCCGTGAATAGAGAGAGCTTAAAATCGTCTGTTCTAAATCGCCTTGATTTCCGAGCGCATATGAAATATTAGTTTATTGATCTTCAAAAGTTTATACATCAAGATTTAAGACCCTTTAACTTATAACGACTCTCCAAAAAGTTCGTTGAAGCACAAATTAAAACTCATATAATACAGCACAATTTGGCATAGCAGAGACTACTTTGCTATTGATTGTCCTCTACGAAGCCATGGCTACCCTTAAGCAGATCTGTGAGACAATAAGACATGGAGTTAATTGGCGATCTGGTGAGATCATTTCCAAACCTCGGCTGCGAAAGAAACATACCAAAAACGGCGATTATATCACCTTTCAATTTGTACGATTATCCTTATATGTCTATCTTGGTCATAGTAATACTGAACTTGTTCTTCAATGACTCCACAGAAAATTATCGGTCCCTGGTCTCAATCAATTTTTATCTTTAAGCATCTCTGTCCATGGCCTCTCTTCTCCAGTTTCTGGATTTATGCATATCCCTGACATTTCTGCCCTCCCATATTGCTCCCGATTTTCCTCTATGTTCTGCTCTTTGCATTGTCCTGTTAAGCAGTTGCTTCGACATCCTGACCACATATTCTGCCCATTACAATCTCTGGATCTTGAATGACTTGGAGAACATTAGCTCCTTGTAGTAGCTGTTTAGTTCCTGGTTATATCTTGTTCTCCATATATTATTTTCATATATTGGGCCTACAATCCTAATCAGAATTTCCCCTTCTTTTTCTTGACTGAAGGAAAAAGAGTCTCTTCCCCCTTTTTAGAAGGCCATTTCTTCCGTTTATGTCGGTCATGAGCATGTCTCTCATTGTTATTAGTTATGGCAGTCTTTAATAGGGTTGTTTAGGCTTCCGGGATACCGCAGCTTGATGGTAAGAGTGGGTTTTGAGTAAAAAAGGCTAGGACATGTACCTTATATTCGCGTTCCACTGAACCACACTGAACAGAGCTGCCAACAACAAATGTACTGATTGCGTTGAGAACTGGAGTTCGCTAATAAGTGTAACGACGATATCAATGAAATGTGTCAGTGGATAAAGAGAATGTGTAATGGGCCGAAGATTTGAAGAGCATGTTGAAGTCTCGCTATGATCTGAAGCTTTTATCCAAAAGATTCGACGCCAGTAGAGATTACCCAATTCTCATTACAATAAGAACCTCAACAATACATTGGGGCATTAATTTCTCCAGAGAGGTCGAACTCCAGCAGCTCCTAAACGACCTATTGCAGATAAATTTGGAAGGGAAAGCTCCAAACCATTGTACTAGGTCGGTGGCTTAGACGCTCAATATTTGTGAAGTAATGGTTGCTCAAGCAACCTTGTTGGGAATCATGGGATCTCCCTGATGATATCCTCATAATTCCCATTGTACTGGTCTTATTTAAAATACTGTACTCGATTTGCTCATATCTATATCTCTCATACAGACAAGACGATCGGCGTTGTTTTGTACTTTCTACTCTATTAGGTTTTAGTCTATTTCTTATCTTACACTATTATTTTTAATTCTACCTTTTCTGCACATGCCTATCATTTTTCTTACATACTTTATTTCATTTACCGTTGATGTTGATTTAACTCTATCAGTTATTGCATGATTCTGATTTTGTTGAACGGCATAGGTGTGTATAATGTTAGATAAAGATTCATTTTCAGTTTTTTCTTATCTAATAAATTGTTTATTATATGACAGCAGATTTTATTTACGTTTTTCTCTACTTATTATCTTTTGTCGATGTCTTTTGTTACTGTTGTTCTTCTAGTATAATTTTTCCATTTTTTTAACCGGACTTTACTGACTTTCGTCCAATGAGTCTTACTACTGTTACTACCTTGGTATTTTGCATATTTTTTGTGGCACTTAGTCAAATGCTGATTTAAGTTGTAGGAAAGAAAATTTAATCTTTTTGCATTCTTTTTCTCATATGATTCTGATTATAAAAATATGATTTTAGGTTTATTAGATTTCATGTCTTAGTCTTTTGTATAAAAATTTGACGTTCAGTTTGGTTCAATTGACGACTAGTAGTACATTGCTCTATAATAATCACAAATTATGGTTTCTCCTTTGCTGTACAATTTATATCCTTGGTTTTCCGGACTTATTGAAATATATTATATTGATAGAGAGGAATACGAACTCAATGCAATTTTTAATAGGATATAAATATCATATATCTTAAAACTCTGCAATCGTACCGAATCTCAAGGGAAGAATTTAATCCGAGCGCACTTGATCTCTTGATCTTATACTCTTTTCTACGAGATATTCTTTCTTAGATCCTCTTCAGGTGTATATATTTCAGTCAAATCTATTTTGATCCCCGAAGGAATTTTTCCGGTTACACCTTTATACTTAAAGCGGGAATTTCGAACAACGGAAACCTGAGAATGTGGAATTATACAAAGCTAAAGGGGTTTTTGAGGGAATCGAATTTTTTTTTTTTTAATGGTCCAATTGAAATAGTATTAAATAGTATCAAACAAAAATATTTTATTTTTGAACGGAATAACGTGAAATGTGTTTATATAGAAAACTGTTTGGTAAAAGAATTAATAAAATATATCATTACATTTTGAATTTAAATCCTCTCAAATGGAAATAAAATATTTCCCACCTCGTTAAATATAACGAGGAAATATTAAATTTTGACAAACAAATTTTAGGAAAGAAAATAACTTTT